GTTGAATAATTGCATTTATAAACAAATAACAGGATGGACAGTACATGGACAAAAGGAAGGGAGGAAGAATAGATGGATGGATATTGTTAAATCTTTGCTTAAAACCAACAAGTCAAAAACTGGACTCAATTCCCCACAAGGAAGTCCCTTCAGCTGTAGAACCCTTACTCTAATTGTTATAAAGTTCACCCCCTGATTGAGCCAAACCTGTCATGTTGCAACTTGCCCTTGGCAGTTCTAGCTATCTCCTCTATGTCTTCAAGCATCCACTGCGGGACTTGGAACGTATACCCTGTGGATAAGTGGGGGACTATAGTATATATCTCCTAGTGATTCTGCTTCTCCGGTTGACCCCTGACCCATGAATGATTTAGGTACTCTGCCATCCCCTGGGAACACAGCCCTTGGCCTCTCTCCCACCCTCTGCGTTGCAGAACATGCCAGATGGTAACCAATTCTCTAGGCTCCATTTCCACACATTCTGCCACTTGACTTGCAAGCTCTTCTGACAGTCTATGTTGTGTGCAGTGGAAGGCTGGGCAGGCAGCCCTGTTTTCAGCTATGGAGTGGGCTGATAGGCTGTGCAGACTAACAGATAGCAGACGAACAGTTCAGTAGGTTTGGCTATTTTCTCACAAGAGGAAAAGTGCCAAAACAGTGACAATAAGTCACTGGAGAACTTCACCAGCCACGATGAGGAGTGGTATTTGGCCACCTAATAAATCTCAAGGCAGGAGAGTAAAGTGCATTCACTAGACGGACACAGAGGTGTCTCACCATGTGGCTGTCAGGACAGACTTCTAGGCAACGCTGGGCTCCCCCAGAATGCCTTAGAGTACACATGGGATAATGACACACTTTCTCTGGGCTCATACCCAGCAGGTGGGGTTTTGCATGCTTTCTATCAGAGAGGTTGCAAGTTGGCAGCCCGTGGGCTGAAGTTGGCCTCCTAGCATGATTTGTTTGGCCTTAACAGCGTTTAAAAAACTTTTTTGAATTTGTTGCCAACTTTTCACAAATTGGGGATTTCACATTTTTTAAAAATCCTTGAATTTCCCATCTTTCTTGAAAAATCAGATTTGGAAAGTATAGACCTATGCAGGAGAATAGGTCTGTACTTATTCTCCTGCATGGCAAAAGCTGGCCGAAGCTGAGTAGCAGCTGTTCTTGCTAGACAGGGAAGGAAACCCTGCGGCTCAGGAAGCCCCACCCAGCCTGCTGCTCTCGCTTATGTTACCTGCCTGGCTTCTGGAGGCATCTACGCGTAAGCCTGGTCATCCCAGCTGTAGCAGATGCTATATACTTTCCCACTGTAGTAGAAAGTCAGGCTGGACTTCAATAGCCAGTGTCTATACCTCTTTGCCTGAAGACTTTCTTCGGCAGCCAGTCCCTCTGCTTCTCAGCCAGCCATGAGTGCCCCTTCAACTGATGGGAATTGGTGCATAAATATTCCAGCTGCCCTGCCCCCATTGGTTGGGGTCAGTCTGAGGTATATGCTATACCCTGGTCCCAGAGGTCCCCAGTGATAACAAGCTCTAGTTACCCACAGTGGAAGTTGACATGGCCTTTAAAGGCTGCCTTGCCCTTCCTATCTCTTCCCCTTTCCCTTTTTATTCACCACCTAAATGAACTATTTGTACAGTTTATTGTACAAAAACAATTCTATACAATTGGCACGAACACTGAATTAGGGAATACTGAACCATTGTTCCCAGGGGAAATAGGAGGTTAGGTTCCTGTCTTCTGGTCACAACATTTCACCAGCCAATCAATACATAACCTTGTTTTATGTGTTTATGCTCAAAGACACCTTATTTAATATGTATTGTCGATTCATTAACATTGAACTTAAAGCTAACAGCACTATGAGTCATGCCTGAATGAAGCTCATCTAACACATGGGCAGTTGATCCTTGAACAATGTGGGGATGGGGCGCCAACCACCTGCCCAGTGGAAAATTCTCGGCCCTCCTCATACTCGGATTCCCAATTGCAGATATAAAATACAGTTGGCCTTTGAACAACAGGAGTTCGAACAGTGCGGGTGCACTTACATGTTAAGTACAGGTTGTTATTATCATTTAAATCCACACATAAGTGGACCTACGTGGTTCAAACCTATGCTGTTCAAGGTCAACCGTATTTTCTTCATAAGGCACATCACAGCCTTCTTGCTCTTGGGAACACTAGACAGCACTTCAGCAATGCGCTTGATGGCCATTTTAAACAGTAAAATCACCACACAAAGCACAAAAATGCAAGAAGCATGCACTAAATAGAAGGACCTTTTGTTTACAACATAAGGACTTAATAAGGAAGCAGAGTGTTGCCTTGTTGGACTTCAGCTGGGAATGTGCACATCTGGTAACTCATATTCTTTTTTGCTCTGTGTATGTCCAAAAGTGACTGTGAAAGTAACACAAATATTGATTTTGAGGTTACAAATATATTGTAGCAAGTAGGCAAATTCACAAATACAGAATTCAGGAGAATCAATGATATCCCAGAGTCTGCTTCTAGGGAACCCCAAATGAAGAAAACATTACAGAAGTGCTTTCCTCCTCAAGTAATTGAGCAACAACTAAAAACCCAAGAAGAAATATAAAACAATGGTTTTCGGGAATTGGCCATCAGGTAACGCAGGATAGTGATCCCCAGGAGAGGGGAAACTAACAAGGTGAGTCCTCTGATTTCCCTAGCGCATGGCCTGGAGATGTTTCCAGGCTGCAGTGCAGGAAGGACACACCCAGATGGAGTAGCCCTGAGTTGAGGAGACAGAGCTGGGAGACTGGGGAGGCCACGGTGGTTGGAATTTGCAAGGCAGAGTACTGGAGAGCTGAGACCTGTGCATAGAGAGAGCTCCAGAGATTTGCAAGGATCTCTCCTAGCCTTCATATGAGTTCTGATCAGAGCATGCATACAAGTAAACAGCCCAAGGCCAGGGAAATAACTACCTAAAGGAACGAAGGGAAGAATCAGAGTTCACACAGGGATGGGAATAGTGTTCCCACCAGCCAGAGTAGAAAACCTCATGGGAAATCAGGCAGAGTCCTCCGGAGGTTCTTGCCTCAGTAGGAGGGAAAAATTGGCCCTCAACTAAAAACTGCTCAAAAGATCAAGCTGCCCTACCAGGTTTTGCTCAGTGGATAGAGCATGGGCCTGCAGACTGAAAGGTCAGGGTTCAGTGCTGGTCAAGGGCACATACCTGAGTTGCAGACTCCTGGCCCTGGTTGGTGTGCATGAGGTAGGCAACCAATCAATGGTCTCTCCCACATCAATGTTTCCCTCTGTCTGTCCCCCTTCTCCTTTCCACTCCCTCTAAATATCAATGGAAAAATCGCCTCAGGTGAAGATTTTTAAAAATAATAAATAAATAAATAAAGCTGTGTCCAAGTGAGCAAATTATCTTTCAGGAAAAAAAGCTAAACAATATTTATAGAAATACAAAAATATCCAACATCCAACAAGAGAAAATTCACAACATTTGGCACCAAATTAAAAATTAGGAGGCTTGCAAAGAAACAGTAAAAAGTGACCCATAATGAGGAAAAAATTAATAGAAACAGATCAAGAAATGACACTGATGATAGTATTAGCAGACAAGGACATTGAAACCATTGTTATAATTACAATCCTTATGCTTGAGAAAGCAGGGAAAAGATTGAACATTTTAAGTAGAGTCATGGGAGATATAAAAAAGACTCAAAAAGAACTTCCAGAGATCAAATTAGAGTGTATGAGATGAAAAATGAAAAATGCATGGGGTGGGAAGAATAGCAGATTAGATACTACAGAAGAAGAGATTCGTTAACTTAAAGACATAGCAACAGAAACTCGGAATCAAAAATGGGATTCAGAGAGGAAAAGAGTAAGCTACTAGTAAGTGAGAGGCTTTATCAGAGTGTGGCTTCTAATTGCAGGTCCTTTAGGTCTGCCCCTGGAACCTGACTGGTATATGGGACCACTGGGAATTTCCTTTCCTTTAGGGCAGCTTTAAACTGCCATCCCATGATTATTTGCTGGGTGGAGTTCTTTTAGGGCTGTGCAAACTCTAGAGCAGGGGTCCTCAAACTTTTTAACAGGGGGCCAGTTCACTGTCCCTCAGACCGTTGGAGGGCCGGACTATAGTTTTAAAAAAAACTATGAACAAATTCCTATGCACACTGCACATATCTTATTTTGAAGTAAAAAAACAAAACGGGAACAAATACAATATTTGTATTTGCATGTGGCCCGCGGGCCGTAGTTTGAGGAACCCTGCTCTAGAGCAGTGGTTCTCAACCTTGGCTGCACATTAGAATCACCTGGGAATCTTTTTAAAATCCTGATTTCTGGGCCTCATCCTCCGGAAATTCTGTTTCTTTGTTACTAATGTTGTGGCCTCACCCCATAACAAATTCCAACCCCTGGCCCATGATTCCCAAGCCCTTTCCCTGCTACATATATTTTTTCCTCAGCACTTACCACCATTTAACCCACTGTAGATTTTAATGAATGATCTGTCTCTCCCACTAGAATATAAGCTCCAGGAGGCACACATTTTGGTCTGTTCTAGTCATTGCTGCACTCCCAGTCCCCAGAACAGTCTGGGCACATAGTAGGTGCTCATTAATATTTGTTGGTTGAATGAAGTTTTACAAATAAAGGAGCATGCCACTCTGCTTCCAGTAGCACTCCCCCTCAGTGGCCAGCACACAATAGGCATTCAGATGCTCTTGTGGGCAGGGGACCCCCCCCCCCCCCCCCCCGGTTTTCTCATTTTCAGAAGGAACAGGTAACAGCTGTGTCTGGGAAGGTAGGAAGAGTCCGGTCTAGCTTCACAGATCACCTGTGGGAGGCTGAGGGTGCAAGTAGACAGCTAGCTCTTGGCATGTGCAGCCTTTCTGAAATCAGGAGGGAATACTCTTTCCTGCCCCTGTGGGTGGGGCAAGAAGTCTTCCTAGGAACAGGATTCAAATCTGTGCCCCTGGCATGTTTCTGTTTGGGTCTGGTCCTAGCAGTGACGACTTTAATTTTCCTCTGGAGCTGTGTTCCATGGGGTGTGCAGAGCCTGGGAACAGTGAGGGCATTAGGACCAGGATCGAGGCGCATGCCTGGCTCGGGCTGTGTCTGGCAGAGGGCTCCGGGCTGCGCGCGGAGCTATGTGTGAAAGGAAATCAGGCACTGCCTGCCGGCTTCTCATCTGTTGATCTGACCTGACTTGAAGCGTCCAGCACGACCGCTGTCAGCACTGCTGGAGGGAGGACTCACCAGCTCCCCCCGGACATCGCATAGCAACCTGACCACTCGTGCAAGGGGGGAAACGAAACACACGGGATTAGACACCTGAGCAGAATGGAATCATTGCTTTTTTCCAAGGAGAAAAGGGGGCCAAACAATTTAATTTGAAGTCCCCGTGAATGGGCTTTTCGAAGGCAATTAAAGAAATCCACGCAGAGAGGACCCGGGGTGGGCCTTGGGTCCCGTGGCTTTCAGACTGTAAGTGGGAGCTGGCCTTACACACGCTGTTGGTACATGGCAGACGGCATCAAAGGAGCAGGTGAAGTGATTGTCCAAACACTTCCAGGTGGAACCAGGAGCCCAGTTCTGCTGCAAGCTCCACGGATCCTGGAGCAGGAGGCGACAGCAAACTTGAACATGACCTGTTGCATTTGGCAAGTTCCGGCAACATGCTCCTAAGGAAGCGATGCAGGCACGGACCCTGCAGACTGCAGTTCCTGCTGCTCTTCCTCATGCTGGGGTGCGTGCTGCTGATGGTGGCTGTGCTGCACCCTCCCCCGCAGGCCCTGGACCAGGCCGTCACGGCCCAGGCCGCCCAGCACAGCCCTGACGCTGGGTACCGCCTGGACTTCGGGGAATCCCAGGAATGGGTGCTGGAGTCCGAGGATGAGGACCAAGACTACGGGCCCTTGGAGGGCCTGCCGCCCTTGATCTCGCTGCGGGAGGATCAGCTCCTCATGGCCGTGGCCTCACCCAGGGTCCGAAGGAACCAGAGCCAGGGCAGGAGAGGTGGCAGCTACCGGCTCATCAAGCAGCCGAGCAGGAGGCTGGACCAGGAGGCCGCAGAGAAGGACTGGGGGGCGGAGGAGGAGGACGAGGAGGCATCTGAAGAAGATGCGCTGACCACGCTCAGCCTGGAGGAGACGCTCAGCGCCCGCATCCCCCTGCAGAGGGCGCTGCCCGAGGTACGGCATCCGCTGTAAGTAAGGCCCCTGCTTCCCCTTTGCCAGGTACTGGGGTGCTATCAGCAAAGGCGGGGTGCAAGCGTTCTGCACTCTGCCTCACTATCCCTAGGGCAGCGCCTCACTAGGTGTGGCCCCTGGACCAGCAGCGGCAGCAGCACCGGGAACCTGTTAGAAAAGCAGCCTCAGACCCCGCCCAGACCTCCCTGAGTCAGAAACCCTGCGTGGGGTGCCGGGTTCTTATCTAACCAGCCCTCCAGGTGAGCACCACCTTCCTAGAGAGCAGAAAGGGCGCAGCTCTTACTTGCTCCTTCTCTTCCCCACCCTGGGTTCTAGTCCTTCTGTCTCTGGATTAGCAGGTCAAGCAGCTTTATCTACAGGACGCAGAGGGGCCCGGGGGCAGATGTTCTCCAAGGCACCTTCCAGTTCTCACACTGTGGCTCCTGTCCATTTTGATATTATGATTGTTGTCAGTGTTCGATTTTATTTTGGATCAAAACAGCAATTGCAGCTAACACGTGGGTGGGTCTTGCCATGTGCCTGGCTTTAATCTAAGAACTTTTCACATATTAGCTTACAAGGGCCTTACAACTCTGTTGGATGGGTGCTAGTCTTACCATCGTGCCTATTTTATAGGTAGGAAAATAAGGCACAGAGAGGCCAAGTGACTTCCCCATAGTCACACAGCTAGCAGGTGCCAAAGCAGGCCAGTCTGCCTGAACCGCCACTCTATGCCACCCTCCTTGGTCCACTAGACTATAAAGGGACGATTCCAGTGCCCAGGAGCACTGATGCCATCTAACCCGGCAGGGAGACCGCACCCTAAGGAGCAGGGTGCGAAGTGAGATGACATGCTGGCTGTGCCCAGGAGGTGACGGGCTCATCTTGTACATGCCTGCTTCCTCCCCCGCCTCCCACCATCACCAGGCTGGCTGCAGAGAGGGGAGCAATGCAGCTGGTTAGTGTGGGTGATCTAGGTCCCTACCCTATGAGCCACAGGTCTTCCCAGAGCCCAGAGAGTTTCCTGGGAAGCAAGCCCCCCCCTCCACCCCTCCTGGTGAGAGGATCCGGGTAGAGCAGCAGTTGGGAGCAGGACCATGAACTCCTCGATCCCTCATGGGGTCCTCTCTGCCTGGCTACTCGGCCACTCACTCTCAGGATTGTGCAAATGCAAGACAGCACATGGGAGGGACGCCTCCTTACACTGTGTGCCTGGGTGTCACACTCACCTCCCCCTCGTCCCAACCCTGCTGTTATGACTTCAGGTCTTGGCTTTAAAAGCCCTTTTCAGGAAACTCCCAGGCCCAGCCAGGCCCAGCCAGGCCCAGCCCCTTGCAGTTTTGTGCTCTCTGGAGTGTTAACTCATTACATCTGAAGCTGAATGCTGAATGGACATTGATGTGTTGGCTCAGTGCCTGCTTCCCCTGCCATGCAGTGAGCCCACAGGTCCCAGCACACAGTAAAGAAATGATCGCTGAGTGAGTGAATATAGTTTTAAAATTCTGTTCATACATTTTTTCACTGGCCTAGAGCAAGAATGAGTATCCTCATTTTGTAAAAAAGCAACATTGCCTCAAACTAGAGGTCTCTGGTTACCAAAGGTGTGTGTGTGTGTGTGTGTGTGACTATGTGTGTGCATTATGCAAATGTTCTGTGCACATGCATATCTG